ATGCAGAGTAAAACATAGTTACTCAAGAGAAAACTTGATGTGAGAATAGCTATTTTCGGGTCCTTCAAAAATAATTTTTGAGAAGTAAGACACCATCTTCATTACTTAAGTTAGCATTTGCTTAATAATAAGATTGTACTATGTATACTTTCATTCTTTGCACACTATATTAGGCTTTGAATACATATATCACTTAATTATATTTCTCAGTTCATGTCAAAAGTTAAATTAATTTAAATTTGACCGTAAAATCACAAATCACAACAATGTATCGTGATTGCAGTTCCACTCCTTAAATTTAAAACATGAAAAGTAGTTTGTTACTTGAGGCGTCGCTGAAGATGTGATCAAGTTCTTGAGCTAGATGAAGCAAAGATCTTGTGGAAGGTCATTTGCTGGATGAGGCCGACGGTTCTTCGTTCTATTTGGAATTTTAATTTTTAATATGTTGAGTTTTCGGATGGTCCTAAAACGTGGGGTCTTTCTTCAAAAGAGGGCCCAAATTGAAGGCCTTGTAGGCTTCCGATTGGGCCACAACTAGAATATTTGTTAAAATGATTAGCATTTTTTCCCCACAAATATCTGCCCCCAAAAAAAAAAAAAATCTTGTTTTGGCATCGTAATTTAATAAAAATACAAAATCATGGGTTCTCAATTAAAAAAAGAAAAAAATTGAAGCATACAGCCCATGCACTTGCAAATACTCAAACGTGTATTATCCCCAAACTTTATCCCTTTTGTGGTGATTTATTAAGCAAAGAGCATTGAACAAATATTCTATTTGATCTGCTATCGCAGGTGACTTGTAACTCAAGTGATGTGTTTGTTCATACATTCTTGGTGATGTGTTAAATTTACCTCCTTCCTAATCTTGTTTCTGTTTTAAAGATGTAAAGATACATGACAAAAATAAAGCATTAGGTCTTCTTTAGTTTCAAAATAATTGTAAATGTGAATTTACTTAGGAATTGGCTAATTTCCTATACTTGTAATTGTGTCCTCGTTTCATAGAATTAGGCACAGTTTTTAGGCAAATTAATTTGGGGTACAAGACTTATCCAAATTGAGCAGATCAAGGGTTGACTATGTCTACAAGGTAATTTGCATTTGCATATCATATTAGGAAAACTATATCTTTGTGATTAAATTTTATTAGGAATGAAATTCATAATAAAATCAATTAGCATAATTTTTTTCCTATTTTTTCATGTTAAAACCAATTCTACTTTTTCCTACTCTTTTTGGAAAGTGATTTCTCGTGATTAAAAAACACAACTTGAAGACCTTTGTTACTCACTTCTGCAAAAACTGATTTGAGAGATTTACATTGAGAGAAGAAAAGGTGAGTTCATGAAAAATTAGAATGATAAAGCAACTTTATGAAGCTTTTTATTTCTAGTTTGCATCTTCATATTTCATATTCCATATTGGAAGCTGTGTGCTAACATGCTTGTTTGTGAGGATTATCGATTCGAGAGAGTTCAAGCAAAGACAGAGTAAGGCAAGACAAAAGTATTGGGTAGATTCTTGTGTAGAGTTTATCTTCTTGAGTCTTGTAATAATCCATTCTTAGTGGATTTCTAGAGGTTGTTCCCAGTTGGGTTTTTTCCTCGTACCATTGGGTACAAAAATCCTTGTATTAATTTACTTCTGTTGCAAGATTTTATTAGTTTGATTTGAGATTGAAATCCTTGTTCAATCATATTCCGGTTATCTGTTTACTCTACCTGAGGCACGATTTCAATAATAACTATGAATAGTCATCGACTCTTGAAAAATGATAGAAGAATGAGAATTATTATGAGACGTACAATGCTTTACATGCTTATAATCAGTACGCTTTAATCGGGTTATTCTATTATGGCGATGCATTTATGCAAAACTTATACCCCGTGATTTTGTTACTCATCTTTAGTAGCAAGAAATGGTGGGTTCCGTAACCTAATTTTCGCTGGTGGAGAGGTGTTGAACTGTGGGGCCTTGTATGTGAAATTAAACCAAAACGAACCCAACTTGTTCACAAACTGGTCCCATGGTCTAGTGGTTAGGACATTGGACTCTGAATCCAGTAACCCGAGTTCAAATCTCGGTGGGACCTTTTTTGCCCTCTTCTTGTTGCTTTTTTGCTTAACAATCGAGGATTGCTGGAATTGGTAAAACCCCAGAGAAAGCTTCTCTGCAAAATCTGTCCTAGACGATGACAGTTTCTTTTTATTTCTTATAGTTTTATTTCTTTATTAATTTTTATCACTTTATTTTTAAATATAATTTTTTTTATAGTAATCCACATGTCACTACATGATTGGATTTGTGCAAAGCCGGTCAATGGTCATGAGAGAGCGCATGAGGTGCACACGCACAAGGCCCTTGATTTTGAAGGACTGTATTTTTTAACGTGATAACACACTCACACACACACACACATATATATTTAAGGATAAGAACAAGAGACAAACATTTTAACAAATATTTTTACATTCTTTTTAACCCTTTATATGTTTGTGGGCAGTGAACATGCAGTGGACGCGCGCTTTGGAGCGCGTGATTCGTTGCACGGCTTTTGACGTGCCAAAGACCGTTCTGGTATGCCACACATTTGTGATGGGATATGATATAGGGGTGTAATATCCATACATCCCATTTTACTTCTCACACATAATGAATTGAAGAAGATCAACGGATATAAATTATCAAGGGGTATGTGAAAAGTAAAATGAGGTGTGTGGATAGCACGTCCCATAATATATTATGCCTGCAGCCTGCAGCCTGCAGCCTGCCGCCATTGTCATGGAATGGAAGGAGAAGGTGAAGGCTCCAATTTAACCAAACCTTCTCTCCTTTTTAATTCAGTTAATTTTTTTTTTAATAACTTGATATACTCCTTAAACTTTTTTTAATTGTATGATAAATAGACAGATTTTTATTAACTTGATATATTCCTTAAAGTTTTTCTAATAACTTTTTATAAAAAAACCAGACCAGTAGGTGGTTTCGCCTTGACAGTCCCCTTTCTTGGGGTCGGTAAGACTTACATAGGCATTTCAGCCTTCTTCTGACCACCGTCATGCAATTTAAGTGTAATTTTGCACATAAAAAGATGATAAATAGGCAGATTTTTAGCCCCAAACATACTTATATTTATTTTTTTCTATTATTTTTGTTTGATTTATTTGCTGATAACAAAATTAAATAAAACTATGTGAGAAACCAAAAGGCTGTATAGGTGATCACTGAACATATAGTTTTTATACATAAAATGCTACAGAGATCATATTATTATTGACTTATAGAAGACTTGAGGTTTTTTTTTTTTTTTTTTTTTTTTAAACGAGGACAACTGAAGACGAACCATGCACAATTATCTACTCTTTCGGGCTCGAAAGAGGCGAGTTGGAATTGCACCCTACCCGTGGCCACAATCAGCTGATTCATAGTTTACAAAGTATCGAACACATGACCTCCTTTTATTTTTAGGGAACTGTTGTTTACACTTTTCCACTAGGCCACTTGTCGTGATTGAAGGAGTTTTTTACAACGACAACAAATGCATGTGGCATATGGTGTAAACAAATACGTTAACTAATAAAAAAATAAAAAGGAAAAAGAAAACTCTAATGTAATTTTTATTTTATTTTTAACAAACGGTATTATTTACACTAAAGAGAATGGGGTAGATTAGCTTCACGATGAGCTAGCAATAATATGGTTTAAATTCACATTTGGCGAGAATCGAACCTAAGACCTCTAACTTACAAGCGAAAAGGAATACCACTAGACCGTAGTACCAAGTTAATAGGGATATTTTAGTTCAATAGTGTTGAAAAATTAGTTATTATTTATGGTTTTCTTGTAGGTCAAGGATATTAGAGTTTCTCACCAGTTAAAGATTAGGATTTTGCTTTAATTTTCACTATATAATAATACATAGTAGTGCTTGTATTAGTTTATTTCAACATGCGATTCACAATGTATTCTTTAAAGTTATGTAGCCGTTTCGACAATCTATTTTAATAAAATAATGTTTGCCGTTGTATTTCGTTTGTTTATTTTCAAATAAACATATTTTTTTTAAATAACAATATAATAAAGAAGACATGAAAGTATAGATATTCAGATTGGAATGATAAGGCTAACGTTGGCTTGGGGGTTGCAACAAAGAAAAGTGCAAGCTTTGAATCCAGAAGGGCCCTTGAGAGAGAGAGAGCATTTAATGCAAGTGTACAAGCACAGCAACAAAACCTAAAGGAGTTGTTGTGCATCAGTTTTACTATTTTTAGCACACAAATGAGGCATGCTTGAAGATATATAAGCTCCAAAATCTCAAAGGTTGCAATGAGCCTGCTGCAATATGTGAAAAATAATAATTATCGGTAAAGTACAAAAAACTACCTCAACTATTGATGTCATGACACTTTCATACTTCATCTTTTAAAATTGACAATGTCATACCCCATCTTTAGAATTTGGTCAAATGTTATACCTTCCGTTACTTAGCCGTTTATTTTTCAGTTAAATGCTGACGTGGCTTGATCCAGATTCCACTTTCTATTAAAAAGTTAATAAATATTATTAAAAACTAAAAACAATCATTTAATAATTTCTAAATATTAAAATTAAAAAAAAAGAAAAAAAACTTATGTTCGTTCCCTTTCCCCTTCTTCTCTCTCTCCTCCCCATCTTCTTCTCCCTTCTCGTTCCCTTCTTGCAACCCAAAAAAAAATGAAGATAAGGGAGAAGAGAGAGAAACCGTCCGGGGGAACGTAAATAAGTGTTTTTTTTTCTTTTTTATAACTTTTTTTTATTATTTAGAAATTATTAAATGATTTTTTTTAATAATATTTATTAATAGAAAGTGGGATCTGGATCAAACCACGTCAGCATTTAACTGAAAAATAAATGGCCAAGTAACGAAAGGTATAACATTGTACCAAATTCTAAAGATGAGATATGACATTGTCAATTTTAAAATATAAGGTATGAAAGTGTCGTGATACCAATAATTAAAGTAATTTTTTGTACTTTATCCAATAATTAATTATAAATATTTTGTAAAGCAGTGGCATTAACATTGTCTTCCTTGTATTTTCCATTTGGAAATAATTTCTTAAATGTCACTTCTCCTTATTAGAGGTGAAGCCAGAGAGAGCCATGGTTGTACTTCTCCTCAAAGGTATACTTCTTTCTTGCAAATTATACTTGATGTTTCCTTGTCTGATATTTATACTTGGTTTTCCTTTTGGAATGTGGTTTATCTCAGATTTTGATGGCCAATGGTATTCCGGGCTCCACCTCCAAGGGCAAGATTCCCATCTCCTCTTCCAAGGGCGATGGTGGTGGCAACGGAGTCCCACCAGGAGGTGGTGGTGATGAAGTCCTACCATGAGGCGGTGGTGGTGACCGAGTCACACCAGTCGGAGGCGACAGAGTGCCACTAGGAGAAGGTGGTGGTGATGTTGGAGGCTGAGAACGAAGGATGGTCAACATTGTTTGAAGAGTGAGACGGACCGGCCAAATGGAAGAGGAAGAACTTATGATGTCAATTAATATCATGTCTACCTCATTAGGCCAGTTTCAAGGTATTCTGCATGATTTTATTCGTGTACTTTAACATGCAGGAGGACACTTGGCGGGAATACTGGTGTGATCATGAGTTATACTCTTAAGCTTGGATTTCGACTTACATGGCTATTGGTGAAGCGCGTGATAGGTTGAGTCGGATTGTGCTTGACAGAGCTGGTGCATGCTATCTCCGAGTGTTTGATGAAACTACAGGAGAGTTTGTTTTACTGTTTGAATTACAAAGAAATGAACTCGGTGGAATGACAACGCTGGAAAATACGCTTCAAGCAAGGATTGGTGAATTATACCTCGGTCTCGTAGATGTTGACAACTATGAACTCTACTTTGTTAATGGCGCTCACACCTAGTTTATGAGCTTGTTTGTGGATCAAATGCGTGTTCGAGGTTGGCAACCAGCACCATGCGTGTGTCTCTCTAGATCGTGGAGTGCTGGTTGCCAACCTCGAACACGCATTTGATCCACAAACAAGCGATCAAGTGTGAGCGACATTAACAAAGTAGAGTTCATAATCATCGACATTTAAGAGACCGAGGTATAATTCACCAATCCTTGCCTGAAGCGTATTCTCCAGCGCTATCATTCCACTGAGTTCACTTCTTCGTAATTCAAACAGTAAAACAAACTCTCCTGTAGTTACATCAAACACTCGGAGATAGCGTGCACTAGCTCTGTCAAGCACAATCCGACTTAACCTATCACGCGCTTCTCCAATAGTCATGTAAGTCGAAATCCAAGCTTAAGAGTATAACTCATGATCACACTAGTATTCCCGCCAAGTGTCCTCCGACATGTTCAGTACACGAATAAAATCACGCAGAATGCCTTCAAAATGACCGAAGGAGGTAGACATGATATTAATTGACATCAGAAGTTCTTCCTCTTCTATTTGGTCGGTCCGTCTCACTCTTCGAACAATGTCGACCATCCTTCGTTCTCGGCCTCCAACATCACCACCACCTCCTCCTGTTGGGACTCCGTCGCCACCGCCTGGTGTGACTCCGTTGCCACCACCGCCTCCTGGTGGGACTCCGTTGCCACCACCGTCGCCCTTGGAAGAGGAAGAGGAGATGAGAATCTTGGCCTTGCCCTTGGAGGTGGAGCCCAGAATACCACTGGCCATCAAAATCTGAGATAAACCACATTACAGACAATGGAAAACCAAGTATAAATATTAGAACCACATTACAGACAATGGAAAACCAAGTATAAATATTAGACAAGGAAACATAAGTATAAACTATAGAGAAACGAGAGAGTGGCAGAAATAGAGATGGTGCAGGAAGAGGCAAGTCTGTATTATGAGTGAATTAGGGTACTATTTTGCTTCCTTCCCTCCTTGACCATGTCAGGAATTATGTCACTCCTTGCAGCAACATTGTCCACAGTCCTCTGCATGACGGCGCAAATTAGAAGAGATACGTCTACTGAACCACTGGGAAGCAAGCGTATTGAACTGACCGTAATTCTTACCGGGGACATATTTCCTAATCCACAGACCCTACATTCTCCACTGTAGGTCATGCGAAGAAATCCATACTTATCAATATTGTTAGCATAAACCTGATACATGAGGAAATCTGGAAAAGTAGAAGAATTATAGTTTATTACTGCCACAACAAATTGGGGAACAAGATGGAGATCATTATGCAGAAAACAAAACATTAGTTGCATTTTAGCTCACCAGTTTCAGGTTCTCTGTCATTGACATAGACAAACAGACTTCCACGGTGCTTGATCTGCTTCCGAATAAAATCCACAAAATCTCCAAAACGCATACTGCTGTCGACACAGTATCTGCAGTCAAGAAACAAAGGATAGGAGACAGAAATATGTGAAACATCCTTCTTTAAAGACAAGATATGGAAACTAATTAGCTTAGACTTAGCCCTTCATAGTACGTTTTCCTTTCTGTATGCAAGTTTTATGTAATGATACGGGACAATGGGAGTAGGAACATATATATATCTTCATTCTTTCTCTTTGCTTTTCTTTTCTTTCTTATTTATTTATTTACTGGTGTATTTGAGGACGTATACCAAAAGCTATAAATGAAAAGGAGTCAATCCTATTCAATTGTAGCAATATAAATCAAGATAACTAAAGAAAAAGGCAATTGAAGACTAACTTCTTGGTTTCAATGTCCGGAATGCAACTCCTTGCATCCATCTCGAGGCTCACCCACACGGAGGCTAAAATTAGAACATGGAATTTGCATACACTAAATGCATATAAGTCCCCGGGGGGGGGGGGGGGAGTGCGGGGGGAGCATAGAAATCAGGAACTTCAGTGAAATCGGGGATCAGATCGTGGTCTTTTTGCTCGTCTTTCGGGAGAAAGTCTGAACGAACACATATGAAAAGCAAAAATAACATTGAAAAGGGAACTGGTTCGGTTGTAGGAAAGAAAACCAAGATAATAATTAAAAGCACTGAAAGAAAAGGGTATCGATCGGCAACTAACTCGCTAAAGGTGACCGTGCCATGAGTTGCAGAAGCAATGTCCTCCTCCTCCTCCCCGAATCGATGTCATCCTCTTCTGAAATTCACATCAGACAGAATCCCCGAGTTCAGAAAAGAAAACAATCAACCAAAAAGAATTTTTATGCAGAAAGCAGCCCTCAATTCTCAAAAGGGTTGAAGAATCAAACATCCAAAATATTTGCTCAAAACTAAACAATTAAGCAGAAAGCAGCCTCGCAAAGAAATAAAAAGATAAACACAAACACAAACAAACTGACCATGAGCCTCGGATTCTTCATGAGGGCATGCGTCGAAGCTTTCTACCATGGAAATACTCCCGATAGGGCTCTTTCTCTTGGTCTGCAAAATTTCAAACAATGAATAAATTTACATGTTGGTAATTCAAGAATTCATTGGCTGAGATCAATCAATCAGGGAGGCCGCAAACATCAAACGATCAATGAATTTAATCAAACAGATTACATATCGTTAACACACCTGACGTTTTAGAATTCTTTCCGATTGCATGATTCCAGCACGAAGTTCGTCGTCTATCTTCGTTTTAGTCTTCTCTCTATTTACCAAGGTTCTAAAAGGCTAGACGCTGCTCGGCGGCAGGTAGGGTTTAGGTGGAGTCACAATCAAATATATTAATGGGATATTTGAAAAAATAACCAAAATTTTGTATCCAATATAAAATTATAGCCACACTTGTAAATTTATCATAATTATAACAAATAATTGATATGAAAATACTGGTATACCCTTATACACTTAAATAGCTGCCGTTGTACTAAGACTGCCTTCAGATCATAGTAAAATGGGTGTCCTGGGTTTGAATGTAGATTCGCTAAGGCATGGTTGGGAGTGTATTGGTAGTTCTCACTTCGAACGTCATGATTTGGAGTTGAGGTTGAGTGTGACGGTGGTATTAGATCATTTCAACGGTATTGATTTCAGACCTCATCAGAGTTGTTGAAGTCAGACCCAACCGGCGTCGTCTCCATTATTTCCTTGAGACATTGGGTCCAGAGGACCTAAGCAATTAAATTAAAGAGAGTTTTAACGAAAATCTCACGGTACTGTTCACTTTAACGAAAAAACACATTTTTACACTAAAAAGTCGAACCTGGTACCATTCATTTTACCATTTATTTTGTCCTTATCGTTAAAACTCAAAGTTTTCAAACTATTTTCATTCGTTTTCTTAAATTAAAATTAGTTATGAAAATGAAAACTGATATATCAATCAACAATCGTGGCAAGGTAAATAACGGAAGAGGACGGAGGGGAAGGTGCGGGGTGACGACTAACTAGGGAGGAAGGGATGGATAGGAGGCTTTGGAGCAATCGGAGATGCGGGAACATCTTCAGCAGATTGCTTTTTAGTTTTTTTTTTTTTTTTTTTTTTTTTTGGAAAACCACATTTTATATGAGGGTATATTAGTACTTTCATGTCAACTTTTTGTTATAATTATCATAAATTTAAAATAGTGGCTATATTTCTATTTGTGTCCAAAATTTTGGTTATTTTTTCAAATTTCCTTATTTTAATCTTACCTTAATTGACAAAACAAAAGGAAAAGGAAATTACATAAGAATATTACAAAACTACGAGACTTCAGTTATATTTGCAATAGTAACCGATGACAAGAAGTAAGAGTTTGCTAATAAAAGACTGGACCCAAACTGCATGACAAATCCAAACGAGCTAAATCATCATGAACAAAATTCTTTTTACGATAGATATGATGAATTTCACAAGACCAGTTTTGGTGTATAAGGGCACGACAATTCACTACTAAATTTCCCAGATGGTGAAGATCCACTTTTGCATTTGAAATTAATTGAACCTTAAGGGGGGCGTTTGTTTGCCCTCACTAAGTGAGACTGGACTGGACTGGACTAGCTGTTAGTCCAATACTGTGTTTGTTCCATGCTGGGACTAACATTAATGAGACTAAAGGGGACTAGCATGGACAAAACCCTTCACTAAGAGGTCTTAACGAGACCCCCCAATAACCATGGGACTAGCTAAGACTATCATTTCTCGTCCTCGTCATGCTCAACAACCACTCCTGATAGACTCCTCGTCATCTCCGGTCACCTAGATCATAATAAAATATTAATAATTTATATATTAAATAATATAATATTAGAATTTGTTTTTATCCAGCTTCTTAGTCCAACACTGCACCAAACGCTTCACTAAGTTAGTCCAGCTTAGTCTAGTCTAAGCTAGTCCAGCTTAGTCCTTGAAGCTAGTCCAGTCCGAGATAGTCCGGCGCAACAAACGTCCCCTTAGATCATAATCCGATTCTACCATAATCTTTTTAATTCCATTATTCTATCTAAATTGCAGCCCAATAAAAACACCACAAACTTTAGCACATAAAATCTCACCTCTTCCAAGATTGGCACAAAAACAAGAAACTCATGTCATTGATGAGTTTTTGAGGACACCGCCAGCACCACTGAAATAGCCTCCCCCTTGGGACACCCATTCACAATAAGCCTTATCCAACTCTCAGGAGGAGGTTCCCAATGACAAAAAGCTTGTGTTTGAAAGGGTTTTATGGAGGAAACCATCTATTGCCCTGAAGCCAATCTTTGAAGCAGATAATGATCACAAATTTGGGATCATTTGAGAGAGTCTTGTTCAAAAATATTTTAGTTCTGCCACGCCACAAGAACCAGCTATAAAAAGGTGCTATCAACTAATTTTTCTTAATTATTTGTGGGTGCATTGTAACTGTGAACACGGAAAATTCCTGAAACGAAAGAGACAAGAATAACGTGCACAAACAAATATTTGTATTTTTGATGATTTTGGGTTACAATCTCTCTCTATTTTGATCCTCTGATTCGATCTCCGTAAAGTGTGTATTTGTGGATGTATGATTGATCCAAAGGGCCGTTGGGCTTGATCTAAGGATGAACGTTCTTCAAGGGCCGTGGACTTGATCTTGAAGGTGGATTTGAGCGGATCTTCAAAGGGGCTTTTGGGCTTGATCTTTGAAGAACAGTGATGAACGGATCTCCAAGGGCTTTTGGGCTTGATCTTGAAGAACAGTGATGAACGGATCTTCAAGGGCTTTTGGGCTTGATCTTGAAGAACGGTTGGATGTGTGGATTTTGTCGACGTTGTTGATCCAAAGGGCCGTTGGGGCTTGATCTTGGATGAACGGATGATGAACGATGGTGCTTTCTTCAAGGGCCGTCGGGGCTTGATCTTGAATTGGTGGATGGTTGATCCAAGGGCCGTCGGGGCTTGATCTTGGAAGAACAATGAACGAAGAACGAAGAACGAAGAACACTTTCTTCAAGGGCCGTCGGGGCTTGATCTTGAATTGGTGGATGATTGTTGATCCAAAGGGCCGTTGGGGCTTGATCTTAGGATGAACGATGAACGAAGAACGCTTTCTTGATTCTTCGGGAACCTGGATGCTTGAGAGCTTCGGAGTTTCAGAGCTTCAGAGCTTCAAGAGTTTTGCCTAATGATTTTGGTTCCCCCCAAATGAATGAAATGGGCTTGTATTTATAGAATTTTCCAATGCCTAATTTTGAATATAATATCCCAGATGAAATAAGTCGTTTCTGCCAGGTGTTGACACGTGTCCTATTTGATGACTTTTCCAACTCATTTCAATTTTCGTTTAGTCACACGCTACTGTAAAATTTATGTAATACATGAGCGTTGACACTTTGATTTATCGGTCAACATTTATTTACCGAAATTTCGATGTCTACAAATGCCCCCACTTCAAGGCACGTCGTATACATGTGCTTGTCACGTGTAGGAGATGCGTTTTGAAGTCCCTTACTGTAGATGTCGATCCAAGGGCCGTCGAGGCTTGATCTTGAATTGGGCTGGAGATTTCTTCAAGGGCCGTTGAGGCTTGATCTTGAATTGGGCTTGAGATTTCTTCAAGGGTCGTTGAGGCTTGATCTTGAATTGTTGTTTGAAATTTCTTCAAGGGCCGTCGAGGCTTGATCTTGAAGGTTGAAATTGGACCACAAGGAGCTTCATGTGGTAGATGATCTTTGGCTTTGGTAGTGGGTGAATCGACACGTATTTTGTTGCGCTTGTTGACTTTCCACAGCTTTGATCTTGAACCGGGTTGAAGGATTTTCTGGATTCCTCCAATTGTTGATTTTCCACAGCTTATTCTTGAACTAGGTTTTGATTCAAGGGTGGTAGACACTTAATCTTGAATCGGACTTGTGATTTCTTCCAGGGCCGTCGAGGCTTGATTTTGAATTTGGCTGGAAGCTTCTTCAAGGGCCGTTGGGGCTTGATTCTTGAAGGCTGACTCGAACATATTGCAAGCAGGCACGAGGTGAAGGTGACGACTTGTTGCTTTGTTCAATCTTTCTAATTCACACCTGAGCAGTTTGGTCAGCGGTATGATCTTCAAGATTGATGGGCTCTTCTTCCAGTTGGTGACTTGATCTTTAAGGATTTGATTCAAGGGTGGTGAATCGACACGTGCAGCTCATAACGCCTAGTAAGCCGACCCAATAATTTGAGGGTCAAAACAAATTCACCGTCCAGAATGATTGCAACCCTGAAGATATGAGATACTTTTGATTTTGAAGAATTAACGGATGACTCAGCACGTGCCTTGTTGCATTTGTCTCCACATGCTTCAAGGTATCATTTTCATTTCCTTTATCTGTTCCTCAGGCAGATGTGGCATCTTCTCGAGTTCTTCATCTCAGACTCCTTCTGCTGAGTTGACTGTGCATGCTGCATTCTTCTCTGCTTGTTTCTTCAGGCAGATGTGGCAGCTTCTCGAGTTCCTCAGTTCGGACTCCTTCTGCTGAGTTGACTGTGCAGACCGCATTCTTCTCTGCTTGTTCCTTCTGCACGTTGTCTCCACATGCTGCAATGTATCATTTTCACTTGCCTTATCTGTTCTTCAGGCAGATGTGGTAGCTTCTTTGGAAGTACAGCATCAGTGGGAGACGAGTACGCGAGAGCAGTGCTAGGTAGGCAATCAGGGAAGGGTTCCAAGCAATCAGTTCCTTACCCGAGTTTGAGTGGAAGTTCCGGCATATTGTTTTCTTTATCCTTGTCTTTGTAGGTAGGAACAAGGACAAAGGAAAAGACAGGGAGAACGCATGATATGAGATACTCTTGCTTTCTACCCTGGTGATATGAGATACTTTTGCTTTGGAGTCATTAGCTTGCAGAGGTACCCCAAGGAATAAGGAACACTGAATGACTCGAGAGGTTTCGTTGGGAAATCATTTTTTTGGAGATGAAGAAAGGCTCTGTATGTCTGCCTTGCTATGGAAGGTGAAGGTGGACAGTTATAGGAGGTCCCTTAATACCTGTAGAGGTAGTATTCTTTCACTTGTGTCGACAACTAACGCGTGATTGAACAGTAAACTTTCACGTGCTTTCTCCTTCACCGAAAATCTTCGACAAATTGCCCGTGATTTGTGCAAAGTTGAGTGTGCATATGATAGGTGATGACGCGGCTGAAAAAGACTGGTGCCTCTTCGATATCTGGGATCGGCGCTTCGACAAATTACCCGTGATTTCCGCAAAGCTGAGTTTGCGTGTGATGGGTGCCGCGCGACGCGTCTGGAAAAGCAAGATGCTTCTCCGATTTCCGAGCTTGCCTTTTCGATTTTTGAATAGCCTC